CCTTAAATCCAACCTGAACTCATCCTCTGACAGTTTATGGCCACTGCTCCTTGTCCTCCCCTGGGGTGCCCTAGTGAACAGTTTTTCTCTCAGCTCTCGATATTCACCCCTTACATACTTATAGACGGCCACCAAGTCCCCCCTCAGTCTTCTCTTCCCCAGGCTGAACTGTCCCACATCCCTTAGTCTTTCCTCATAAGGTTTGTCCTCCAGGCCCTTCATCATCCTTGTGGCCCTTCTCGGGACCCTTTCATGATGATCCACATCTTTTTTGAAGTGCGGCACCCAGAACTGGACACAGTCCTGCAGCTGGGGTCTCATCAGTACCGAGTAGAGAGGAAGTATCATTTCCTTAGCCCTCTAAGGAAGTAGGCAGCAAAGAGAGAAATATTTATTTTAGCTTCATTTTCTTCTCTGTCTCTAGTGCTTGAGGCTAGAGAATGTATCTCCATGAAAAACAAAGTTGGCTTCACCTCCCCAGCCCCCCTGGACCAGCCACTCTATTCAATAGTGTCAGCAGTTTATACCTCCCCCCCACCCCATCCGTAACACTTTCTTCACAGAAAACTACACTGAAAAAGCCAAAGGAAAGCTACACGTAAGGAATGTAAGTTAGAAATAGCCTGATCAACTGGGATTAAGTGCTCCAGGCTGAAATCTTGAAAACTATTTAATCTGGTTTCTGTTTTAACTCATCTACACTCAGAACGTAGACCTCCATGCTCAGGAGGCGTACCCAGGGTGATCCTGTACTTCTGCCACAGTGGGTGCATCTACACGAGATGCTAACTGGGCAGTAGCTTATTACCACTAAAAAACACTAAAAAGCCATGTACTGGCACTACTGTGCAGTAGCACCAGTTACTGCACATTGATTTAGTACTTGGTTATGCAAGTACTAAGCTTAAGGCACAGTAACTACGGTGCATTAATGAGCGTGTAGACGCACCCAGAGGAGTTCGGTATGCTACTGCATCATCATCGTTACTGTAGAAATAATGAAAGAAAGAAGAAAATGTATACGTATGTTATTTAGGGGAAGAGAAAATAACTGTCTTGGCATGAAGAACTTCTGGAAATATGCTGTATTGTTCCAATTATAAGTCAACCCCACGTTTTCAGTTTCAATTTCAGGAAAAAACAGATTTTCTTGAAGCGTAAATTGATGTTTCTGCAAAGGCAAACTGAAAATCAGGCATTGCGATCCAATTATTGCCCAATGTCTCAGGCCTGATTATACGTGGACCCTGGATATAAGTAAAGTGTGAATTTTATTTTTATTGTTTATTTTTGAAGGAGGGGAAAAAATGTTGACTTATCCTCAGAACAACACAGTATAAATTGCCTTTCCTTTCCTGGCTTCCTGGCACTCCAGCATAATGCTCTTCTAACATAGCTTTACTGTATGTATGGAAATGCAGGTCTGTTGTTCACACTACTGATTTATAGGTAAATGAGCACTTCCTTTCAAGCCATTCATTAAGTGACAGGAGAAGGCCATGTGATTATGAATAAAGGGGTCTGACCCTGCTGACGTCAATCCAATTTTTGTTATTGAGTTTACCATGGCCGGGATGTTCCCCAAGGAGATTATGATCTCCTTGAGTGTCTTTGAGCGCTTTGGATGGAGCTGCTAAAAGCGTGCAAGGCAGAACAGCGCTTGTTTTAAGAAAATCATTTTTAATGATCAGTAAAGCAGCATGAAACCTTGTGGGCATCTCTTAGCTGGACCTATATGATTTCCGCCTGTGCACTCAAGGAGATTAATGGCTCTCAGCTCCATGTGGATGGAGCAGTCCTGAGATATCTTGATTCTGAAAGTGAGATAGAGGCAGGCTCATGTATGCGTGTGTGTGTGTGTACACCCGTTTCAGACCTAAATTCTCACGAATAGCTGAAGTGCTTTCAAAACTAACCCTGTTGTGGTGCCTTTGTCAACCATCGCATGCATTGAGGGAGCGCGGCTCCCAGCAAGGTCCTTGTCTTCGTGTCAACTGCATTTCAACCGTTTTTGTCATCAGAGAGGAAACGATAACAACCGTGGTGAAGACCCCAAGGCAAAAGCGAAGGCTGTCTCCTGCCCGTTCTCCCTCAGGACACTCTCCATCTCGCTCTCCACGATCAGAGCTATCAACGCCAGAGCCCGTTTACATTTCGAAGGTCCAGCAGCCTGTACACAAGCAGGAGAAAGAGGCGGTGCTGAAAGGCGCCATCCCTGTGCTTTTTGTGACGGAGCCAGATGAAAGACAAGGAGCGGCATCTAGAGACATCATCATAGAAGCCAAGGTGGAAGAACAGAAACCCAAATGGGTCGAAGTGGAGGAAATCATTGAATTCAAGGTGAAAAAACCACAAAAAACTACAAGGAAGAGAGGAGCATCTCCAGTGAAACAAGAAAAAGATGACTCTGGTGTGCTAACATTTACTCTGCCTGGTCCCAGACCTAGGCATTCCCCAGAAGATGATCCAAACACTAATAACTCCAACAATAAATTAGTAGAGCAAGCCAAGTCTTCCCTTCCTACTGACAGTCTTTCAGAAGTTGACATCCCTCCCCTTGCCTATGGAGATGACCAGGAAGGAGATCCAGTCAGCAGTGATAACATGAGTTCTCAGTGTGGGCCTGAACAGTTAGGCAGCACTTCTTTTATTGATTATGGGACTGAAGGAAAGACCTGCACACAGGAAGTAAGTGAGAGCAGTGGTTCAGAAACTACTTCCCCACTGCTTGCCTGTGGGGGTGAACCCTTAGCCTTTAGCTTTGAGACAGCTGATGTAAGGAAACATGACCTCCTACCTTCGCAAGCAAGTGTGGAGGTTAAAGAAGACGCTGATGATGAGTTAGAAGTACCGTGGACTGCTGAAAAGGGAGATCAGGAGCCAGTACAAGATGAGGGTCTTCCAGAAGGAGAAAATATTGTTATAATTGATGAGCCAGAAGAACTAGAAAGAGATGATATTAGCAACTGGGACCCCAAAATCCTGACCCACAATGGGAAGGCGTTGACTCTGGAAGACCTTGAAGACTACGTTCCTGAAGAAGGCGAGACATATGGGTGCGACAATCAGAACTACACCAGAGACAAACCTTGTGAGATCTCTGTGCTTCAGACAGAAATTAATGAACCGACCATTGGGAAGCCGGTGCTGCTGAATCTGGGGAGATCTGTGGCTCCTAAACCAAAGCAAAGCTTCTTCAGCAAGTTCAAGGAGCACCTTCCCGGAGGCATGTTCATGTCAGCATCAAGAGTAACAGGAATGCAGTCCATGGGTCCGTCCAACGTTTCCTTCCACGTGAGTGAAACTTGCACAGCAGCAACAGCACCTGGCGTATCGCCGGGCCCCTCCTTTGAAATGAAACCATCCTTCTGTACCGAAGTCCAGCTCTCACCGGACAATGGACAATCCAGCTTTAAAACTGAAGTTTCCACCAGAACCCTCAGTTATGGAACTATCGGAGAACCCGTTATGTTGCACATCAGCACGGAGGACCCCTCCCAAAGCTGAGCAGATACAAGCCTGATCCTTAAAATAAAGCAATATGTAAATAAGTAACAAGCAAGCAAATGAACAAAGGTCTAGGATGGGAGGAATGAGTGGTGAGAAGCACAAAGAAGAAAAGAAAAAAAAAAAAACAACCCCGAAACCTGTGGGCAAACGTGTAATGTGGTGATGTAGAGCTTTTCTAGTCTTAATGGGAACATTTCTGTCAGTTCAGGTTGTAACGAAAAAGCTTTTGGAGAACACATATCATTCCAAGCAACAGTGACAGTCAGGTACAATAGATGTAGGAAAGCCTGCTTCTCCGACTTATGACAAAAATACGAAATAAATAAATAAGAACAATTTTATTTGAGAGGTTAAAGATTACTTTAGGTGTCAGACTTCCAGGTTACAGTGTGGCAAGAAGGTCAAGAGATCTCTGGGCCTTTTAGGAATCAAGAGAAGGAAGGGTAGTGTCATCTAAACATGTCTCCTGTCACTGTTCATGCCAGAGGGGTTATAAGGGCTTACGCTGTTTTAATTTCACTAAGTACTGATGACACAACTTAGCCCTACCAAAAACATGTTCATAAACCTTTTAAAATGAGCTCTCTTTAAATTATTTTAACATTTGCTATGGAAAACAACCTATGGAAGATCCTATGCTTATTAATAAACTACCCCACTCACTTTAGCGACGGCTAAAACGTTTTGATTGCAATCCTGCCCCAACCGAAGTCAACTGCAAGACTCCCATTGACTTCAGCAGGGGCAGGATTTCACCCGTTGGTACAACATTGTTCTATTAAAAAGACCATCCTTGTTAAACACCTGCTCTTTGATTGTTCCTGACATAGTTGCATAAAGGCACAGGCTTCACAACTCGGCAGCCTGTTTTCAGGCTCAGTAGATCTGTCTGCCCTGTAAAATCAGATACAGCTTTGTGTTACTTGCATGTAAGAAAAAAATCTGGTGAATGAAACGGAATGTGCAATTTAAGGTAGTATATATCATTCAAACCAAGGCATGTGGAGAGCCACAAATGAATTATTTTGTTGAATGATTAATTACTGTAAGCATAAAGAGTTTTCTGTACATATTAATGGTTAAATAGTGCCATTAAAAATGAATGGTTAGAGTCTCCAAATATACAGAAATTTACCGGTGAGCCAGATCAAAATAACAGGAGTGCAACCCTCATCCAGTAAAACCCTCTTTAGCTAATAACTAAATACATAAGCTAGATAGTTAACGGACATTGTGCCATAAGCTTTTTCCCGGGTTTCAATGTTTTATGCTCACTGAAAACACTGCCAGTACAAGATGTGTAGTGAACTCTCAAGTGTTTACATTCAGTTATGTTGTAGAGGTCACCCTTTATCATAGACTACTTTTTCTTTCTCTAGAGCATTGATGCGAGAGATTTAGTATGTATGGTGATGCCTATTTCATTAATGGCATGATTCTGCAAGGTGTTGAGTACTCTGAGAGGTGCTACGCACTCTTAACGCCCATTGACTTCAATGAAAATGGTGCTAGGCACTCTCAACTCCCATTGACTTCAATGAAAATTGATGCTGCATAGCAGTTTCAAAAACCCTTTGCAGGATTGAACTGTTAGGACCACATCTTGATCATACTTGAAGTCAGTGGAAACTTTTCCATTGATTTCAATAAGACCAGGAATTGGCTGTAAGGTATCTGGCATTGCTCTGTGACAGAAGGTATGAGAAAAAGACGCAAACCCTTATTTAAACTGAGTTACACTGTAATGTTGCTAGAGAACACCAACTTTTTGTCTGGATGTTACAGAATAACCAGGATATTACAGAAATGCTGAGACACAGTTCACTTGATAACCATCTTAGAGCGGACTGAATTTTCTCTTTGAAATGTTGACGGGTGATGTTCTGTCTTGACGTTCTCTAACTAGATAATATATGAAACTTGTTCAGGAATTGTTCAGGAATCTTCTTAAAATGATTTAACTTAAGAAAGGTGCCTTCTCGGAAATAACGATGATTATCTTGATTGCTGCACCTTGAAGATATGGTGACTAAAATTAATTAAGTCATTTTACATGCTTTTTTTTTTTATTTTCAGTATCTAAAAGGTATATTTTATCCAATAATGGGCACTACATTTTTGACATTTGGATATTTCTCAGTGACTACATGTGGTGAAAGAAATCAAACCTATTTTATGTTACTATCATATTTTTCATAACACCTCATTGGTTTACACTGTATATTTTATCATTGAGCTATACAATACCTAAAAAGTAGTGCTTCCTCACCTATGAGAAATATTGCACTGTATACTGTACATTGGAAAGTAACTGATATACACTGAGGAAATACTTCTGAACTGAAAATACTTCTTTTTTTTTATTAGGCCAGATTCTGATCTCAGTTTTTCCAATATCAAGCTTCAGTAATTCCACTGAAGTTAGTGGGTTTACTTGAGATTTATATTGAAGGATGAATTTTGCCTATAATAGTCTGTAAGTAAGAATAAAAATAAAGATGTTAGGTCCGCCAGTATACAAAGGAACATGGGGATAATGTTAGCCGGGTCTGATTTTTGCTGAGTAATGATTTTGTTACTGATGCTGTAGAGTTGCATTTCAGGGCATAGGAAAGAAATAGTTATATTTCTGTTATTAACCAAAAATAAAATAACATCTGTTTACATTTTGACATTTTAAAATATCAACTAAAAATCAACTAAAAGTAAGGGAAAATCCTATTCAAGATTGCTTTAAAAAAATTGAAAGTTTTATGAAAAACTCTTTCCATTTATTTTCGAAGTATTTTCCTGAAGGTTAAAAAATTATGCTTGTAAGTGATTTAAAATCTGTAGATAAGTAAGGAAATGTGTGGGGATTTATTTCTTGTAGATGAGAACATAACGGTGTATTACAAATTGATACAAAAAATGTTTCACTGCAGTTCTTGCAGCCAAAAGGTTATTTAAAAAGGTGGAAACTTCAGTTTGTTTCAGAGCCAAACCCCCCCCCACCCTAAAATAAAACTATGTCAAGATATATTAGTAGATGCTGAAGTTCGTATCAATAAATGTCTTGCATCAGCTGTCATTGAATTCACTCTCTTTTGTGACTTGGTTCATTTGTGGTTTTCTGAGATCTATATCTGCCTTCCATTGAAGACAAAAAAAGCCTTTCCCTAGGCTTCAGTGTGTACATCTACACATTTATTAATGCACTTTTGGTAATGCATATTAAGTTTAGTACCTCCACTGTGAGGTACTAAAAAAAAGGTGCATTAGCCTATTTTAATGCACATTAGCAAAGCGCATGGTTGTTTTGTGATGCTTTAATACGCATTAAAATAGGCTTCTGCACATTAAAGTGCACATGTAGATGCACCCAGTGAGAGTTAGATCAGATCCCAAATGCACTAAGGTGTGTGGGGGATCAACATGCATTTGGTTGACTGTGGGCACATCTACACATGCATTCATGCACCCTAGTTACTGCACGCTATGTTTAGTACCTGTAATAACAGGTATTAACACAATGCACAGCAACCAATGTGTAGAAGTGCAACTGCGTAGTAGTACGCAGTAGTAGTGCAACTGTGTAGTAGTGCAACTGCGTCGTAGTACTACTGCGTAGTAGTGCCAGTGCATGCTTTTTTTGTGATGCTAATGCGCAGTAGACGAATTCTACTGCTCGTTAGTGCATTAGCATGGTTTTTGCATGCCGGACTAATGGGCAGTAGAATTAGTCTACTCCACATTTAGCATCTCATGTAGACAGTGAGAGGCAAAAATGCTGGCATATGATGACAGGTTTGGGGTCTTTGTCAGCCTCCTGGGAGATTCTCCGTGTTGAATTTGAACTTCAAACTTATTGAATTTCTCTCCTGTTATCAGGGTCGTGGAAGATGAGTCGTAAAAGGACTCATCGCCATAAGGTTAGGACTGCTTCTGATTCAATATTTCCCAGCCAGGAGATGCAGTTTGCTAAGACCTGTCTTTTCTGCAGCTTAGTATCTGTACTCACGTGACTTTTCTCATGTTACTCTAGCCTGAGGGAAGGCAGCTTCACGGTGAATCAGTGCTGCAGGAGAAGGGGAAGAGCACAGAGTAGCCCTGGCGCCTCATTAGATTGAATGTCAGCAGCTCTCAGGCCCTACGATGGGCCGCTTAGCTTTTGTTTCCAGCCTCCTGTCACCTACAGATTTGGGGTTGGGGTAGTAAGGACACTCACTTTATTCTCAAGCTCACATTGTGGTTAATGCAAGTCAGAGCAAGACGGAAAGGTGCCAGGACTTACCTTTGTCTAAACTCTCCATTTCTTATGCCTGATCACCTCAAACCAATTTGTCAGTAGGAGCTAAGTGCATATTGATAATGGCACAATGTGATTCAGTTCCTACTTACATTGCCATCCACTCCCTCCTAATAAGACAGCATTCAGCACCACATAATAATTCACTTACCTTCGGATAAGCTCACGGACACCAGCACTGCGATAACCAGTGAGCTGTGTGACAAGGAAAATCAAGCAGTGAATGGATTTGCACAGCCAACTGCTTTTCACTCCTGAACACGGCCCTTCCAGGTGATGCACATGAGGACATGTCCTATAGTTAAAGGGAGGGCTGCTGTCTCCTCGACTGTCAGTCAAGCACTTTCCACTGTCACTATATTCACCTAAAGTAAATTAAAAAAAAGACTGAATAGGAAATGCAATCCAAGAAGGCCAGCCCAAGATGCAACCTGCCTTCCTGCCTTTAGATCTTCTGGCACAGTTCATCTGCACTAATTGTTTTCTGTGAGATGGGAAGGGAGCAAAATAAAACCCAAATCTCCATTGTTTTATTTCTTCCAATGGATATAAAATGAAGACTGTCAGAGTTGCTGAGCAAACCTAAAAACAGTGACATTTATTGGTTGAGGGAAATAAAGCAATTTTACATGGGTGGAAACAGATTTCCATTTCCAACTGTGGTTTCTTATGAGCAGGGATCCTGGTTTTCTCTGATTTAAAAAAAAAAAATCCCCAATTTTCAGATTTAAAAAAGTAACCCCAAATCCACATTTTTCCATGATAAAAATGAAACACCACTACCTATGTATCTATATATTAGTGGCATTTAATTTTAATCACAGAAAAATGTGGATTTGGGGTTGCTTTTTTTCATCCAAAAAATAGGGAATGTTTTTAAATCAGAGAAACCCAGAATTCCTGATTATGATGGATAATGCAATGGGAAGAAAATATCCCATAGAGTCTCTTTAACATCCTTTTTTCACACACAACTCATAGTTTCATAGTAG